TTTGACCCCCGTAGTTCTTATCACAATTTTTACACTGTATCCTGTAAATAACGTTCCGGCGTTCGTGTGCTCTCGTCTTACCTTTCTGTCTAGACAGGATTCCTTTCAGACTATTGGTGGGTATGTGAGCCAATAACAGATGGCGAGGCTTGAGGAGTCTAGCAGTCAGTTCCGATACGTTTTTGATGTATGGTAAAGCGATCCGTTTCGTTGTTGTTGGTTCAGGTGTGGTGTTTGTACTCTTGTGGTTCATGTATCTTCGGATGAAGCTGCGTGGATATCCGCTGCGCATGAAGGATGTAAACAAATGGTTTTCTTCTTCACGTTTTGCTTCTGCAGTATTACGATGTGATTCTATCCTGCGGAACAAGGTGCGTATGCAGCTGATTTTGTGACCTTTTTGCTGGTTGCTGTTGAAATGTAGTATTTGATTTGTATGCGTGTCTTTCCTGTAAACTGATGTTTGTAGTTCTCCGTCCGTTGTTCTAGTAACCAATACATCCAAGAAAGGTAGTTTGTTCTCTATTTATGGCTCCATAGTGAAGTGAATACCGTCAATTGCATCGTTCAGCAGACTTTGTGCGGTCTGCAGCTGCGAGAAGAGTTTACGTGGATCATCTGGCACATGAGTCGGAAAGAGGCGGCGCTCGAACTGGGAACTTGCAATGGTCACAGGACCTGAATCGAAGTGAGCAAGTTCAAATGGCACTCGCTCGTCGGTAAGAATCGACAAAACAACTCAGTTTGCTTATAACGCACTAAAGAAGTCACCACGATTGGTGATGAAACGTTTGCAACGAAACTGTTCAGCTCGAAGAACGGAACAAAATCTGGAGAAGACGTGCGCACTCGACCGACTCACGTGAACCGATCGAAGGCTGACATTCGAAGCAGGCAACAATCAATAGTCATTCGGATATGGCATTGGTTTGCGAGACTCCGCGAATCAGGACTGAATAGCCGCACTGAAGATGTTGCCTAGTTTGGTACTGAAACGTCGGCAACAGAAATTCCCGGCTTGGAGAACAGAACAATCCTCTCATCTACTGTCTCAATAACCGCGACTGGTACGACCAACTGTAGTTTCCGCCAGTCACGACAGAGGTCACTGATCACATGGTCATGCGCGGTCCGCCAAAGAGTGCCAGACCAAGACGGCTCACCTCCGACAAATTATGTGCCGCAAGAGCTGAATTCGATCACATGGTTCAGCTCGGTATCGTAGGACGACCCAACAGCTCATGGGTGTCGTCTCTCCACATGTTTCCGCAAAACACCATGGGGGGCTGGCGTCCTTGTGGTGATTATCGATCTCTAAACAACGCAACCACGAATGAATCGCTATCCGGTCCCACATATCGTGGACCTCACCACCAATCTGGCAGGTATAAACGTTTTCAGTAGAATCGACTTTGTGCGCGCTTACAAACAATTTCCGGTAGCCGAAGCGGACATCGCTAAAACTGCTGTGACGACTCCATTTGGTTTATTCGAGTTTCTGCGCATGCCATTCAGTCCAAAGAATGCCACGTAAACTCCTCAGCGCTTAATCGACCAAGCTTGTCGGGGCCTGGACTTCGCTTATGCCTATCTCGACGACATCTTAATCGCGAGCTCCTCACGCGAGGAGCAATTACGCCACGTTCGAACGATTTTTGCTCATTTATCTCAACACGAGGTGACGATCAACACAGAAAAGTGTTCGTTCGGTGTCGACTCAGTAAATTTCCCCTGCCACCGTATCTCCTCTGCAGGCGTCGTGCCACTGCATGATAAGATCCAAGCCATCATCAACTACCCAGAGCCTCACTCTTTCAAACAGCTAAGACGCTTTGACGACCTCGTCAACTTTTATCTCCGTTTCATACCTAGTTGCGCTTCGCTTATGCAACCCCCAGGAAGTTTCTCCGGGGAAAGCTTAAGAAATTCGATTTTCCTACTGCATCATGCACCGATTCCCAGGCGTTGTAAGAAGCTATCGCCAACGTAGCTTCTATAGCGCATCACGACCCGGCAGCCCCACTGTCGCTCAGTACTGAGGCTTTTGACGTGGCAGTTAGGGCGGTCTTACAACAAATGGTAGACGACGCTTGGCAGCCGTTATCATTTTGATCCAAACCTTTGCAACCTGCCGAATCTCGTCACAATACTATCCGTAGAGAATTATTAGTCATTTATTTATCAAAATGTCATTTCCTACATGCCTTATAAAGCCGCTCCTTTGCCGTCTTCACCGACCACAAATCCCTAACATACGTGCTTAGCTCGACTACCGACCGATACTCTCCTAGAGTCGCGCCACCTAGACTATATCGCACAGTTTATGACCGATATATGATAAGTCCAAGATGTGCACAACACTGTCGCTGAAGCACTTTGACGAATTCAAGAGATCTCCGCAGACGCCGGTACATCTATCGACTTGGCAGTCATGGCTTCAGCGCAATTCAACGATCTGAGGTTGATATACTACGCAGGTCCTCCTCAGTGGACTTATGACCCGTTTCACTGACATCATCAGACGGAACTGTACTTTGCGATTTATCTCTGGGCACAGTCGTACCATGCGAATTTCGGAAGATCATGCTCGACACGTTGCACGGCTTATTTCATCCAGGCTTTCGTGCATCGGTTAAACTCATAACAATGCGGTTCTTCTGGCGATATGCCAATCGTGACGTTTGTACTTGGGCAGCTGCTTGCCTTCCGTGGCAACGCGTGAAAGTGCATAAGTACACGAAAAGCCCAGTAGGAACATTTCCCACGTCAGATGCACATCGGCCTCGTAGGTCCTCTACCCGCTTCGAAAGGTTCTGTATATCTACTGACCTGTGGCCGGAAGCTACTCTCATACCTAACTGCTCTTCGGAAACGGTAGCGAAAGCATTTCTGGAGCGCTGGGTAGCTCAATATGGCTGTCCCGTCATCGTGAGCACCGATCGAGGGTCACATTTCTCGTCGACTTTTGCCATGTTGCTTAAGAATTTAGGCTGTCGCCACATTCAGACGACGGCGTATCATTCGGCCGCTAATGTTATGGTGGAGCGTTTTCACCGCCAGTTGAAAGCAGCGGTACGTGCGCACGCAGATCCTTCGTGGTATGAAACACCTCCTCTCGTCCTCCTAGGCTTAAGAAACACAGTTAAAAGGGACTTCAACGTAATGCCAGCGCAGCTAGTCTACGGCTGCACGCTGCGTTTGCCTGGACAACTGGTGGCACCAGCCCCGTCTACTTCCTCCTTTGACTACGGAAGTTACACCGACCGATTGGCTCACCAGATACGTGATTTATCTCCGCCAACTGCACGATCGCAAAAGACACCAGTGTACGTTCCCGAGAAGCTGTCTACGTGTTCACACGTCCTCCTCCGCGCAGACGGTGTTAGGCAGCCTCTTCAGTCGCCGTACATAGGACCCTTCAAAGTGCTACACCGTACGAATAAGACGTACACGATTGACCGCGGTGGCCGACGCGAAGTCGTCACCATCGATCGCCTCAAACCAGCTTTCATCGACGAGGTCGCTGAGCCTAAGGCTAGTTCGAACGCTTCGTGCGACGGTACGAATAATCGCGCCACATTACAGACACGTTGCATTCTTGCAGTGGGTACTGATTTACGTTCACAGGCTAGGGTCGTTCCGACGTCATCATCTACGATCAATCGCCGTGGTCTGGAGGTTAGACAGACCGTTCGGCTTTTCCGATTATGCACAGTGTAAGGACACTTAAGTTTGTAAATATTGTAAAAATTTGTCCCATTTTTGAAACACAAAAAATCAAAAACGTCAGAGAAACCTTATTTGAAAAGAAGCAAAAACCCAAAATACCCCAAGGTTTTTGCATGCAGATCATTCGTTCGTTGTTTTGGGCGTGTTCAGTGTTTTTCTGATTTCTCGTCCTTACATGCCCCAACTCCCCTTCGATTGACTGGCTCTTACGAGTGACGCTTTCGAGGATCGCCTGTCAAGGAAAAGCCAAGAGAGGACGCGGGTCGTTTATCCGCGGGAAAGGGTCGTTTCTCCGTTGGAGGAGGGTCGTTTTGGCGCGCTGCGGGGTGCGGCGGAGCGAGAGACCATTCCCAAGCGCACTGTTTGGCAGCAGCGGAGATTGAAGTCTTGTCGGCCTTTTATCTGGGCTAGCCAGTTTTTTGAAGTCCGACAAGCTTGCTCCAACTGCTCGGCGAAGTGCACCCTGCCCTGTAATCAATAAATAATAGATAACAAAAGGCACAGCGGACTCCGACCTCCGGCGGGCCTCCATTTGACACGAACGCTCACTCATTCTTACTCGGCACGATTTTGCCATACGAAGCTCGATTCACTCGTTATTTTCGATTCCGAAGGTTTTCTATGTTCAGCCTTCTAGGGGGAGGGAGCTCTTTAGCGCCCAAAAAGATAACTGCTATCTTTAGTGTACTATTTCATTGTTGATCAATTGTACATTATTCTTCCTTGTTTTCACATTCCTTACAACCGGCTCGTCACTTGACCGTCTTGTAAGTTCCCGCGCAAACGTGTTGCTCATTAGTTCGTTTCATTCGTTCGCGTCTTCGTGTAGCCCATGGAATACACTCCGCGGTGTCCGACTCCAATGGCCTTCTGATATCCGCGATTACTCTCGCGCACCGTCTCGAACTAGTATGTACTAGTCCTATAACAGCGACAATGAGATGACAGAGGGTGTGATAGATTGCATCGGAAAAGCAACAGTCTTGTGAGAAGAGCCAAAGTAATGTGCTCGATGCGGTGATGAGCAAACCGAATCCAGCAAGACATTCGGAGATGGGATCATAAAAGGCACACATATCTGCGGTGATAGGTGGTCAAAGAATCAGGTCACAAAACGGTACTCAATTGCCATCAAAAGCTGATGCGGGAAAATACATACGAACATCGCGCTCCCTGAATTATGACACACACACGCACACACGACATGTCCACAAGTAAACCGCAATGGACCGGAGATACTTACAAATAAAAAATATGAAAATGAAACTTACCGATCGGATGAAAGTACAAAAGGATCTTGCTGGGATTCGGAGTGGTCGTCGTGAGGACATGGAGCTGAGTTAAATCGAGGGAGAGAAATGATTGTGCCCAAAGCCAAACCGATATGGCAGCCGTCATCGCTACTGATCACGACTAGGTCACCGGGCTCCAGGCCATAATCGTTGCTGGAAAACATCAGATTACACCAATGCATCGCGTTAGGAAGAAGAAATAAAGCACAGCGGGTTCCCTAATTGCAACTTTGAAGAAACAAAGCAGTTTGGAGTAAATCGCTAAAATGCATGAACTGGTGCAACGCGCGCAAATCGGGTTGAACGAATTTCAAACGTTGAGCGCACCATATCAAATCGGGACCGCGCAAAAGGTGAAAGTGACTCGTTTGTATACTTCTCAAGTGATGAGAAGCCGCAGTGAAATGAGAATATATATATATATATATGTATATAAATAATAAATTTTGATGAAAACGGCAACAGAAACGCACCTGCGTGAAATCGCATTAGGATCTGATGGAACAAGAGTTATGTGCCACTGGTCTTGGAAACAGACAGAGACGCAGCTTGAACCGAGGAATTTCAAGCGACGAATAGAACCGCTAAATGAAAGATAACAGTGAAGTAGGGATCAAATCACACTACAACCGGAGTAGCATTGGTGTCAAAACGCTGCAATGAAATTCAGTGAACTCAGACAACAATGAAAAACGTGTGATGGAGAAAGGAGATAGAGTCTTGATTATGAAGCATGCGACACTCGTGTAGACAGTTAAAAAGTGGAGTATAGTTTTTAAAAATGTGCAGAGCGGTTCACAAATGATCGGTCACCTATTTTTGAGACTGCCTGCACCCGGTGAAGAATGTGACACGATGCGGGCAACAAGGTCTTCCAAGCGATCACAGCTGATATGCTCCAGTAGAACCAGACGACACCAGAATGAGAAGAATGCAAGATGGGTAGTTGATAAATGTGACTTTCGGAGCTGCAAGAGCTCGGTCACGGAGTTGCAGGCATCCGCATACTTTGTGTGTAACCTGGAGTGGGAAGCGAGTAGAAGGAAGGAGGATGAGATGAGCGTCGGGATGATAGGCGTAGGAAAGAATAAACAAAACGGTCAGAAAAAGTGGGATCGCTTTGGTGCCCAAAGGATGCATGAACGCCACCAGGTCAGTGAATGAATGCACTGTTTGAAGCTAACCTCACTGACATGCGCAACAAACACTGTAGCCAAAAGATGTGAGTGCTATGAGATAGTGTATGCGTACAAGTACTATAGCTTCAGAAGTTGGTCTCATCTGAAGCGCTGGACATGGACACATGAGCCCTCATTAGGTGCGCGGTTCCACCCCATCCATTTGTCCAATGAGTTTCACCATTTGGGACACAGAGCGCGATGCGCATGGTGGTAACACAATGTGGATCCGAAGGTGGCATCTAAAGAAATGAAAATTTCCCAGTCGGAAGGAAACATAAAAAGATGGTTGGTATCTTCAATCTCTCAGTTCCAAGGCTTCAACGACAGTACGATGATTTCCCACAAAAGCGCACCTTCATTTGCCTAACAGCCAAAAAGCAGTATTAAGGATAAGAATGTCGCCATAGAGTGCGATATCGGAGTATGCATTAAAAATGGGCATGCGACTGAATTGGATGATGTCAGGTCGAGTAGGAAGGAAACGCGAGTAACAAACTCACAAGGTGGACTTCTGAGGCGGTGAAAATTACCCAGGACAACAACTATAGGAAAGGAGTTGGCAACGTGAAGACGTTGAATGTATGACGGCCCACTTTAATTCACCGAGTCTGAGCAGACACAGTGGGCGGATCGGGGATAGACAGTGAACATGAAACCACCCCGCCCACATCGCCGTAAGAAAGTGTGAACGCCTTGTAAACTGTACCACATAGAACCATTCTATTTCAAAATATAACACCTGGAACAGTAACGCAAGTACCACCGGCTCACGGTGGTTGTGTTTATCCTCCCAAGCACCCTATCACTTACTTTGTAAGAACCCGATGTGCAAGCAGAATTGCTTATTGAGCCAAGGATAGCTTATGCTGGGTGGATCGGTTCTAAGGAAACATCCAGTTATCTTCTCTCTGTGTTCAGTGGCTGTATAATGTGCACTGCTCATGCGCAGAAAACTGCTGTTCAATAGTGTTCATTTCCTGTGGGAGAATCGATACGGCGGGCTGTTCGTTATATGCCATTTCGCATCGTGGCATTTCCATACTACTGATAACTGGCGCAGTAGTGTCTGCCTTTAGGCCATCACAACGGCCTGACGGATAATGTGTCAAAAGCGAAACGATGCCAAACAAGTATGTTAACTGATTCAAATGGATGTTGCCTATCCGGCAATACTGTACCCCAGGACCGGTCAAGACAGGTAACACTTGTCACAACAGTTAATGACTGATCGCAGGGGTCATTTTAAAGCACTCGGTAAGTGAACGGATTGAGACGTTCAATCCCTGGCGTGCGGTCGGGATATTTTACTGTCTCGGCACGTTCATCTACTGTGTCGCCAATTTTTATCGCAATCCCGGTCGCAAACACTTGTTCGATCAGACATCACGGGTTACTTTCAACGTTCATATCTCTGGAAGCTACGGACCACGGACTACCGTCTCTCTTTCATTTCAATGTTTTGTGTTATTGCTCCTGAAACGCGTGCATCAAATTCATTAGCTTTGCTTCCTACAGCATGAAATCTGAGCACTTCTGGAAGTGCATTTTAAGGGCTCTTTAGTAACGCTGCAACCAACTCTTTCTGTAATTGTATAAGGTAACTACAGGTGAATAAAGTCCATCTACTTCCGCTGCCTCTTGGGACAAGGATCGCTCCATAGGAAGCCGTCTATGTGCCTCCTAGACTCCACCTGCGCGTGATCTATATCTCGTGTGTCTCTGCCTGCGTAGCATCTCTGATCCATGGATTGACGTGCGTATCGAGCACGAATATAACCTCAAGCGTAACCCAGGCACGAGGTCCGACTGACGCAAAGCTCCAGACATCTGCCTGTCCCTCAAACGAACGGGTGATTGTCATCTGGATAACGACCAGAAAATCAGGGCGCAGCAACTATAGTGACAGCAAACGAAGCCAAACCTCAGTAGTTGGGGTATTGTGTATCGACGTCGTCAGAAGTTAAATAGGCAGAAATCCATCACATCAAGGTGCGCTCAGACAGCCACCACACACCCGATAAAGCACGGTATGGCCGTTTCATCCCTTAGGGAATCGTCAGCAGTGCGCATTCCATCTGACCCTTGTATGGCACGAACCCGTAACTCGACTGTTGCCGGTCCGTGGTTAAGACCAATGAGCTACGGGGGACGGAAAGAACCGTTGAGAATAAGTTACTTGATGTGATATAGCCCCGATCACTACCCATTGACTTGCAGATTACTACCTTGCAGAAGACGGGGTAGCCCCCTGACCAAACAATAAACATACCAAACTTAAACCGCCAATTAACTTAAGGCATTATAAGCAGTTTGGTCTGCGAAGCTATACCATTTGACTCCTCGTAATACCTTTCTGCAAAGAAGTGAAATACTATTATACAACTAACAAAAAACGGTGGGCTTGGCTAGAGTGCGTTTCCGTAGAGCTAAGACCGTGTTTCGTTCAATTTTCTATCATTGGTTTTCAGTTTTTTTCGCTCTTTCTAACGGAGTGATTGGTTTCTTCGTATGGGCAGTGGGCGCAAAATTATTACCGTGGTTCTTCGTATTTTTAGCATTATTCCCAATTATTATGGAAAATAGGTCAGTGTCATTGTAGACACTTAAACTCCATCAGGCGGAGCTTTCGATGCCGCATCGAACAGCCATTGACTGCTAGTAACTGGGGCAATGGTTTAAAAGTAACGGGCGTATTCATCGTATTTTCCTCATTCTTAACTGCTTTGTCCTGAATTCGGCGATTTCTCATGATGGTCGGTTACTAGCATCCACTTTGCCGGTTGAATGATAGTTGTACGGCCTAGTACCAGATTATTTTTTAGACCTCCAATGAGTAATTTCGTCCGTTTCTCTGGTCAAGGTCCTGTTCCTATGTTTCAATGTGATAATATTACTATATTCTGACGCTTAGCTACATTCTAACAGATAAATTAATCACTGGTTGGTAACAACACCCCGTGGAAACTATTTCCCTATCAAATTTATTCGAAACACTTATGTGCTTTCTCTAGCTTTTTACGCTTTTTTCTATCTGGTCTATTTTTGAATTTGTGGTTTCGATGTGCTTGTTCATTATTTGCCTTATTTTTTTCCATCCTAATATTTATTTGCACATCACTGCCACTGTTGTAGGTTGGCCAGACTCCATAGTTTCCTACTTTTAGTACATTTTGCGACGTTTACGAAGGAATGCTTATTTGTTTGTACCTCATGTTAATTAGTATCGCATTATTTACATTTATCTAGACCGAGCGCCATGGTCACTCATATCTCTCCGTCAGCGACATTTAACATGGATGTTGCACAGAAGTTTCTCCACTCACCCACCTCCACTGCTATCTCCACTCGAACTACTGCCACCACAACATCCAATCTGCACACCTACACACTTTGCCGTGCTTCCCATACCAGTGCCACATGCGTTCGCAACAGGACATCCCTAAACCATAGTCGCGTCGAAAAATTAACACCTAATGCTTGTCCTTTCTGCGGCACATCTTTTACTTCAGCGCAAGCGTTGACAATGCACCGCCGACGGACAAACACCGAAGAATATTGTGACTACATGACATCGAGAAGTGTCATTCGCAGTGTTTGCTGGTCGACGGAAGAAGATGAGTTATTGCGATTAGCTGACGAGCTGCAGCCTGGGAGAAAACTTTGAAAAATCTGTTACTCTGCCTTCACCGAGATTTTCCAACCAGAACGCCGGCTACAATTAGTAGAAGGTTGCAGCATCTAAAGTGGATCAAACTGACAATGTCAAGAAGAGTGGAGCTCCAGAGGGTTTCACGTAGAAGAGCTGGCATCTCACGATCACGAGCGGAGGACTCCTCTGCATCACTTTCTCTTTCACTTGGCCACTCGCTGGACTGCAATTACACTCCCTCCATATCTTCCAACGCTCTCATTGTTCTGGGATACAGCAGCTTGCGAGTAGAAACTCACCCACCCGAGCTCGCATCCGAACCGTCACTCCAGCCGCGGATTGGGACCTATGAACGGCTCGCGGCGCAGGTATCGGCCTGTCGCCCTACGCATCCTGTTCTGAATGGCTAGGACAGCAGGCCTACTGGCTCTTGTACAACAATCTCGAACGCCTCGGCCTCTACCGATGTTTATCCTAGCCAACGGAATCGCTCGCCTACTACGCACCACTCACCATTTCATTCATTTCATAATTCCCTTATATATCCAGATACTCCAACCGTATCATCCCAGCGGCCAAACGCACCGACCGATACCGCGATAGCAACGTCAACGGCTGCACTGCCTCAACAGCCGTCCACGTCATCGGAGTTACAGCAAGAGAACAATTTACCAGACTTACCGACCGAAGCCATTCTCCTGCACTACTGCAACTTATGCCGGCGATCTTTCTCCACAAGCGTAGGCATAGGTCAACATCTAGCTAACCACCGCCGCAAGGTAATGGGATTTTTGGCTGATACTGTTGTCCCCAGCTGGATGGAGTTCAAGTGCTTACAACAGGAAGCAAAACGTTCCAAAGCAAGCATGGTTGGTCTCAGCACCGCTGTCAAGCCAATCCAGATGCTTACAACGCAGGGTCTGGTGCGGCTATTCAACCACCCGTGCAACTGGTCTGCGGTAGAGGAGGAGACACTTTTGGCCTGCGCCACGGATATGGCACCGTCCGCCCCCAATTTTCCACAGCTGCTCAGTCAGCTCCGCATCCGAGTTCCCTGCCGGGCAAATGACTGTATTAAGAAACGAATGCCAGATCTTAGTTGGAACATAACAGGAGCAAGAGAACACCTCTACACGTGCTCAGCTAAGTCAGTTACGCGCGCCTTCTCACCATCCCGCCTCACACAGTCG